GCTTCTTTTGTTTTTTTGTTTGTTTTTTTAGCTGGTATTTTTTTCCTTGTAAAAAATTTTCAAAGGTTATGTTCGTAATTGGGAAGCTATTTCCAAGGGCCCTGGGTTTCTAGCTTCATAACTAGAAGCACTTGGCAATTTGAGTGCTCAGCAATGTTGGCAGGCAAGTCATTTCCCGCTGGGGTCCAGTTGGATTGCAGAGTTCCTCCCGTAAACGACAACAGCCCTCAAGATCTCCTGTGAGGCCTCATTAAGTCAGAGGGTTCAGGTGCCGAACCAGCCACCAGGGGGCTCGCGAGGAACTCAGCGAATTTCCGAGTTACCCAAAACGCCCACTTGGTGCGGTTTTATTACAAACTGCACAGGCCAGCGTGAGGCTTGTCTCTTCACTCAGATCGGATTCTGCCAACAGAAGAGACCTCAGGGAGATGTGGCTTGTTCTCCAAGACTGGCTGGAAAATGACAAGGTTAGCTATCAATTGCCAGTCAAAGGATCTGAGGTTTGCGGCCCTCCTCACCCCTAAGTGGTCCTCCTCAAAGATCCACTTGGGGATAAAGAGAACATACACAGATCGGGAAGCTCCTTGTAGCCCCATGACTGTCAATAAATCCTTCTTAGTAAGTACACAGAAAACGTTGTTATAAGCAATGTCAGACATCTGTAAGTAGGGATGGTGAGTGTGTAATTACACACTAAGGAAGGAACTTGGACCTCCAGATTCCCCATCTGGGTTTATGACGCGCTCTGGGTCTCCTTGATGGAAACAGAAGCCACTTGCTAGGATCGCTCCCTTCTCCAATGGGAGTTTTTGTTGAGGGACTATATGGATTTGCTAGGGCTGCAGTAACAAAGAAAGAACCACAAACTGGCTGGTTTAAGACAACAGAAATGTATCACCTCATTATTCCAAGGGCTGGAAGTCCTAGGCCAAGGTGTTAGCAGGGCCATGCTCTCTCTGACGGCTCCAGGGGACAATCCTTCCTTCTTCTTCCAGGTTCTGGGGCTTGCCTGCCATCCTCGGTGGTCCTTGGCCTGGAGATGGCCATTCTCTCCCTGTGTGTCTTCACATGTTCTTCCCTCCATGCATATCTGTCACTGTGTCCATATTTCTTTCCCCTTTTTATAAAGACATGACTCACATTGGATTAGGGCCACACACACCCCACATGGCCTCATTTTAACTTGGTCATCTCTGTAAAGACCCTATCTCCAAATGAGGCCACATCCTAATGCACGAGGAGGAGGAGGATTTCATATGTTTTGGGGAGATACAACTTAACCCATAACAGGAACCACTTTGTAGAAAAGATAATGTTTAGAATGTTTGTAACAACAGACCCATAATTGTGCATGCTAGTGAGTTAGACCATCCTGAGGGTTCAAGACAAAGTTACAAGTCTACAAAGGTATTATACTAACAGAAATTTAATTATGAAAAGGAAAACTACATATTGTAATTTTAATAAGAAGAGCCAACATTTTAACCCAAATTACATTAAATTTACTACATTTGATATTTCCCTATGATCACTGATATAAAAAATAAATACAAGAACAGATCAAAAATATCATTTTTTTTGCTAAAAAGTACATCAGAGGGTGATTATTATGCTACTAAAAAGATTATCATAGAACTCTTATATATTAAACAAGGGAAGTTACAGATTGTAAACATTCATAAAATCAGATTGACACCACTTTTCAGGAACACAAGCCTTCATAACACAAAAGAGGCCACCCCTATTTTTGTCCATTCCCATCAATAAAGAGCCATCCATTCTTTCAGGTT